GTCAAGGTGTTTAAATCTTTTTCTGACTCTGCAGCCTGAAATGCCTCGAAAGATTTTCATTGTAAGTTAACGTTACTCATAAATCCACGTCTAAGAAGTTTTGTTTGTTTGCTTCTTTGTGTTAGAGCTGCTATTCTACCATAAATGACGAGGTTCGCTTGGCGCAAGAAGCCAGCAAAAAATACGGAAAACTTGAACCAACCATCTTTACGAAAATAATTGACAAAACTGTTCCAGCTGTTATCATTTATGAAGACGACAAGGTAAGTGTAGAATCCCTGTAACTTTATACTTCTACGCTGTAGATTTTTTTAAATTGAAGCATACAATTGACAAGCATGGGTTATATAACAATCATACAAAACTTAGTGATGCAGAAAATTAAATAAAAAAGTAATCTAGTACTATAGTACCTGTGTAATATTTTGAAAATAAATTTATTTTACCTTATTAAGGAGTAAAAACTTATTACTTGTTAACTAAATATCATTATAAAAGGTAAAGAAAAGTTGTTTCCATTTCAAAATGGCTTTCGAGAATATGAAAGTTATTAAATTTATTAAAGTTTTTATCTACTTATACCACCAAGTACAGTTTTTGGAATTTGCTTTAAGACTGAGTTATTAGTAAGATACATTTTCATTAAGTAAAGCAGTTTATTAGAGATGCTTTTCACTATCAAATTGAAATCATTGTACAAAAAAAAAAAAAAAACAATCCCTGAAGAAGAAAGAATTTCCTGAGAAGTATAAATCTCAACACTGCAATTTAGTAAATCAGTCATGAGTCACTGACATTATTATTTTGGGAATCATGGAAAATGTTTGGAAACTCTTGTAGTGGAGGACTGGCCTTCTGGAGCTAAACATCTATAGGGCTTCATCTAACAATTATTTTAATAATCGATTAATATGTCGATAATTTAAAAAGCATTAATTTCCAACCTTTTATTAAAAAAAGCTCATCCCTGAACTGTTATAATAATAATAATAATTATATATATACTCTCTAAAAACTGCTGGGTTGAAAACAACCCAATTTGGGTTGTTTTGGTAACCCAGCGCTGGGTAAAAAAGGGACAAACCCAACGATGGGTTACTTTAACCCAACAAGTTGGGTTACAAGTTTAACCCAGCATGCTGGGTTGTGATTTTAACCCAACTATTAGTTAAAAATTACTACACTGCTGGGTTGAATGTAACCCAAAGTGGGTCAGAAATTTTATCTAGAAACTGATGATTAAAATCACTAAAATAAAAACAATTCTACAGCAATACATAGTTGTTCAGTAATGGAATTTTATTTATGACAAAAGATAAAATGTGTCCAAATGAATTTAAGACATTTTTCCCATCTGCACCTCAGCATTAACCCTTTGACGGCCTGCTCTACCAAATGGTTGACCATGTATTTATTGTTTTAAATAATGACTGTTAAAGTCATTAAAAAATAAAGATGATTTAGTGTTCAAAATATTTCTTTTAAATATATATATACATTTTTTTAAATTGGTCTTACACTTTTTCAGATTTTTCATCATTCTGGTAATTCTGGTACTTTTACCATAAACATGCATATCAATCATTTGGTAGAGGTTGATATTTTAGAAATTATAACGTGTTAAATGTACTGATTGTGTTCAATAGCGACATTAGCAGTTGAGAAATGCAATCCAATTTTTTTCTTGAAAGGGTAGTTAAAGGGTTAAGACAATTTCTATGAAAATTTATCAAACTGTATCACAGAAACACTGACTAAAGTTCAGTAACAATGCATCAGACTGAAATCAGACAAATTACCTTAAGAAAATGCATATTTGAAATACATTCAAAAACATTTGCATCATGTATAAATCAGGAATCATCAGTAAGAGGCAATTGCAATGTTATTGCAGAGTAGAGAAAAACAATACTATAAGGAAGTAATAATGAAATGCATCTAAATGACTGAAGTCAGAAAGTAACTTCAAAATTTGAGCACAAACATCAACATATTCTCATATAAATCATCAACTGCAATGCAGAAAAAATATGTGAAAGTAATAATGAAAAGGCATCAAACAGCTTGAAAAAACAAAACAAACAATAAAAACTAAGAAAATACAAATTTTATATTAAGAAAAAATAAGAAAACATTTTATAACTTTCCCTTTAACAATTATGTGCAAACATCAATATATGAGATATAAAGCAATCGACAGTAAGGATGATCAAGTTCAATGTAAATGCAGTTTTGAAGAAAAAACAGATATAAAAGTTAAAATGAAACCTGAGAATGGAAGCATTTTAAAACAAATTTGAAATAGGAAAACTTTTTTAACTTTTACTCGAACAATCATGTGCAAACATCAATCCTGAGATATAAAAGAGTCTGTAAGAAACATTAGTTGCAATGTAACTGCAGTGTAGAGTGTCTTTAAAAAATATCAAGTCCATTATTATGTGCCGTCATCATAGCAAAGAGAAAATAATTCAGTTATTAGAAATGAGTTATTAAAACTATTCTTTAGAAGTGGGTGTCATGGTGGCACAGTGGGTAGTACGATTGCCTCACAGCAACAAGGTCGGTGGTTTAAGCCTCAGCTGGGTCAGTTGGTGTTTCTGTGTGGAGTTTGCATGTTTTCCCCGTGTTCGTGTGGGTTTTCTCTGGGTGCTCCTTTTCCCCCACAATCCAAAGTACAAGTTAAAGAACACAGAATCCAAGGAAGCAGTGAGGTCACAGTATTAATGATTACTGTTTGTCAGCAAAAATTAATGCTATCAGAACCCTTACTGCTAGTGTCTCCTCCCCAGGATGTCCATAAACCACAGTCTGCCACACCAGGGAACACTGCTTGGGGTAGTTCACACCAAAGATGTAGAATGCTTTATAGCAAACGTCCACTTTAGCAAGTAATGTACTTTGCAATAATAAATAGCACAGCACGTGAGCAAAGGCTTTAAAGAAGTGGTGGTCTCCAAGGACGAGAACATGAGGAAACTCAATAGATTCTTAAATTCAATGGATGAAGATGAGGAGATTCCCCCCCACTGTGGAAAGCACTTTGAGTGCCCAGAAAAGCGCTATATAAATGTAAGGAATTATTATTATTATTATTATTATTATACTCCGCAATATTGGTCCCAATCTGAAAAAATAAATAGAATTAAGATTTATTAAAAACTCAAAAGTGTAAAAGTTAAATGTCTCTAGAGTTAACTTTAGAACACCTAAAATACCTTTAGAAGCAATTAAGGCCATAACACACCATGCTATCAGCCAGTGTTGGCATTAGTTAACCACTGACCCTGGCACTATGCTGCAATTTTTTGGCCCGAATGAAGATGACAATGCAACAACAGGTTTGCCTAAGGAACTTTTTTTAATAAGTAATAGTAAGGCAAGATGAGCATTTGAAATTATTAAGTATTTAATTGTGTTTTCTTAATGAGAATAGATAAGACCCTTCTTCCTCAGCTGGGACTGTTTGCAACCGTATTTGTATCATTTGAAGCCGCATTTAAATTTTCTTTAAAAACTTCAAAAATGAGGCACAATCTCAGTCTATGAAGATGGATAAAATTGCTGAAATATTTTCCTAAAAAAAAATCTTTCTGACTGAAGAAAGAATGACATGAACATCTTGGGTGACAAGGGGGTGAGTACATTATGTGTGAATCTTTTTGTTGGAAGTGGACTTCTCCTTTAATGAAAATAGGTGGCTTACAGGCCATTTAGAGTTTGTTGCATTCACTATCTATATAAAGCATCTTATCACTCAAAATTTGAAAAACCATAGCTGTGACCAAATCACAACTTTCACAAAACCGTCATCTTTTTATGTTTTACGCAGCAGATGCCCTTTCAACTGCAACCCATCACACTCTCATTTACACACACACTATGGACAATTTAGCTTACCCAATTCAGCTACACCGCATGTCATTGGACTGTGGAGGGGAAACCCATCCGAGGCTCAAACCAGCGACCATCTTGCTGTGAGGTGACAGCACTACCCACTGCGCCCCTATGCCACCCTAATAACAAACATAAAAATAACATTTTCATTGTTAATAAAATAACTAAGACAAGCATTATGCATTAAATGCATCATTATGCATCGAGAAACCTTTAATTGAATCCTTACCCTCGGAATTGTATTCAAATTGACCTAAAAACGAGGAAAGGTTCGCTCCTGTGCTAAAAATAAAACAGGAGAATGTCACTGGTTGCATGAACAGCAGATTTTTAAAAATAACCAGACAAAGACAAATTGGCATTAGAGTTTAATCTCTCAGTTTAAAGTGTTGAAGTGGCTAATGATTAATAGGGCTGCCCCCTAATAATTGAATAACCATTAGTCAACTAAAAATTTATTATTCATTCATTCATTTTCTTTTCAGCTTTGTCGCTTTATTAATCTGGGGTAACCACAATGGAATGAACCACCAACATATCCAGCATAAGTTTTATGCAGCAAATGCCCTTTCAGCTGCAACCCATCACTGGGAAACAAATACTCATTCACACACATACACCATTGACAATTTAGTCTACTTAATTCACCTTTACCACATGTCTTTGGAAACCGTGGCACCTGGAGGAAACCCACTCGAACACGGGGAGAACATGCAAACTCCACACAGAAACGCCTATTGACCCAGCCAAGGATCGATCAAGTGACCTTGTTGCTATGAGGCGAATGTGCTACCCACTAGTTGCAGAAAAAAAGTCCACACTGGCAAAGTCAATGTATGCTGCATGAATCCGCTGTGTAAAAAATATGCTGGATAAGTTGGCGGTTCATTCCGCTGTGGCGACCCCAGATTAATAAAGGGACTGAGTCAAAAAGAAAATGAATTAATGAATAAATGGTTTATTAATAAATCTGTAATTATTCAACTAATGCTTCAAATGAACATCACAAGTCAACCAGACAAATGTTTAGACAAGGGCAGCCCTAATGATTACAATGAACCAAGTAAAATATTATTACATACCTTCAAATGTGGGGATTAACTCCTCAAGATTGCATTCTTTTAGTTTGATTTTCACGCAATTATCCATCTGAAAAAGAATAACAGATAAAAGCGTTTAAGCAAAATTAAGTAAAAAAAGATCATGTTAGCCAAATGTCACTATATCAAAAAAATACTCCTAAATGATAATAATTATCCAGGGTGTCACATAAAACGGTGGTCAAACTTTTTCTTTTTGCAGTCGAAGATGATTAGGTTGGAATTAGCCTTAGCTCAGACATTTCCGTTTGCATGAAACGACCCATACATACAGGATTAATTAAAGATATCTCAAATCACGTCTAGAATGTAAAATGCTCATAGTAAATTAATAACATTTGCTATTCAATGTACAGCTAAACAAAATGTACATGCAGAGCAGGACAATTATTGTATATATTTTGATTAAAAAAAAACATTGTTAGGGAAGCTTAATTCAACACTTATGCATCAAAGTATTGTCACAAAAATCCATGAACAAACTTAAGAAATACAAGAGTAAAAATACTACTTACTGCTTTACAGTTAACACCCCAGAAAGATCACAAATCACAGTAACGTTACTTACTGTCATCACCTAGCCAACATAAATATCTGTGTCATTCAAAAGGCATTTTATTACAATAAAAAGCTCCTAAATTATCCTAGGTGTTGTGTTTATAAAGTGGTCATCAAACATGCTTCACGTTAGTTTCATTAGTTACCTTATACTTTTCAAGCTCCTTCCGATGCCATGCGCGCTTTCCCGTCCACCGATCAACAGGCTGGGCGTGAGGCGGAGCAGCAGGTCGAGCGTGAGGCGAGCACAGGTCAGGCGTTAGGCGGAGCAACAGCTCGGGCGTTAGGCGGAGCAACAGGTCGCCGTTAGGCGGAGAAACAGATCCGGAGAAACAGGTCGCCGTTAGGCGGAGAAACAGGTCCGGAGAAACAGGTCGCTCGTCAGGCGGACTCGGAGCAACAGTTCGGCCATAAGGCGAGCACAGGTCGGCGGTGAAGCGGAGCAGCAGGTCAGCGTGAGGCGAAGCAACAAGTCGGCCGTCAGGCGGAGAAACAGAAAAAAAAAGCGCGTGTATATTATACTAAGTAAACTAAGTGTGTTATTTCTTATGAAAATTGTTAAATACACACTAAATAACTTGCGTCTCACACAGAATTTCACTCGCTTCCCCTCAAAGACAGCGCAAAGAAAATGGCGGTTTCTCACGTTGATGTCCCTGCATGTTGACGTGACGTGCGTGCTCTCTTTCACGTCCGCGTTCCCAACCCAGCACTGCTGGGTTATAGATAAAGATCGATTTTCAACCCAAATTGGGTTGAATCAACCCAATTTTGTTACCCAGCAGTCTCAACCCAGCATTTGGGTTAAAAAAAACAACCCAGCGTTTTTTAGAGTGTACTCTCTAAAAACTGCTTTGGTAACCCAGCGCTGGGTAAAAAAGGGACAAACCCAACGATGGGTTACTTTAACCCAACAAGTTGGGTTACAAGTTTAACCCAGCATGCTGGGTTGTGATTTTAACCCAACTATTAGTTAAAAATTACTACACTGCTGGGTTGAATGTAACCCAAAGTGGGTCAGAAATTTTATCTAGAAACTGATGATTAAAATCACTAAAATAAAAACAATTCTACAGCAATACATAGTTGTTCAGTAATGGAATTTTATTTATGACAAAAGATAAAATGTGTCCAAATGAATTTAAGACATTTTTCCCATCTGCACCTCAGCATTAACCCTTTGACGGCCTGCTCTACCAAATGGTTAACCATGTTTTTATTGTTTTAAATAATGACTGTTAAAGTCATTAAAAAATAAAGATGATTTAGTGTTCAAAATATTTCTTTTAAATATATATATACATTTTTTTAAATTGGTCTTACACTTAATTTTTCAGATTTTTCATCATTCTGGTAATTCTGGTACTTTTACCATAAACATGCATATCAATCATTTGGTAGAGGTTAATATTTTAGAAATTATAACGTGTTAAATGTACTGATTGTGTTCAATAGCGACATTAGCAGTTGAGAAATGCAATCCAATTTTTTTTTCTTGGAAGGGTAGTTAAAGGGTTAAGACAATTTCTATGAAAATTTATCAAACTGTATCACAGAAACACTGACTAAAATCAGTAACTGCATCAGACTGAAGTCAGACAAATTACCTTGAGAAAATGCATATTTGAAATACATTCAAAAACATTTGCATCATGTATAAATCAGGAATCATCAGTAAGAGGCAATTGCAATGTTATTGCAGAGTAGAGAAAAACAATAGTATAAGGAAGTAATAATGAAATGCATCTAAATGACTGAAGTCAGAAAGTAACTTCAAAATACAAATTTGAGCACAAACATCAACATATTCTCTTATAAATCATCAACTGCAATGTAGAAAAAAATATGTGAAAGTGATAATGAAAAGGCATCAAACAGCTTGAAAAAACAAAACAAACAATAAAAACTAAGAAAATACAAATTTTATATTAAGAAAAAATAAGAAAACATTTTATAACTTTCCCTTTAACAATTATGTGCAAACATCAATATATGAGATATAAAGCAATCATCAGTAAGGATGATCAAGTTCAATGTAAATGCAGTTTTGATGAAAAAACAGATATAAAAGTTAAAATGAAACCTGAGGATGGAAGCATTTTAAAAACAAATTTGAAATAGGAAAACTTTTTTTAACTTTTAATCGAACAATCATGTGCAAACATCAATCCTGAGATATAAAAGAGTCTGTAAGAAACACTAGTTGCAATGTAACTGCAGTGTAGAGTGTCTTTAAAAAATATCAAGTCCATTATTATGTGCCGTCATTATGGCAAAGAGAAAAGAAATCAGTTATTAGAAATGAGTTATTAAAACTATTCTTTAGAAATGGGTGTCATGGTGGCACAGTGGGTAGTACAATTGCCTCACAGCAACAAGGTCGGTGGTTTAAGCCTCAGCTGGGTCAGTTGGTGTTTCTGTGTGGAGTTTGCATGTTTTCCCTGTGTTCGTGTGGGTTTTCTCTGGGTGCTCCTTTTCCCCCACAATCCAAAGTACAAGTTAAAGAACACAGAATCCAAGGAAGCAGTGAGGTCACAGTATTAATGATTACTGTTTGTCAGCAAAAATTAATGCTATCAGAACCCTTACTGCTAGTGTCTCCTCCCCAGGATGTCCATAAACCACAGTCTGCCACACCAGGGAACACTGCTTGGGGTAGTTCACACCAAAGATGTAGAATGCTTTATAGCAAACGTCCACTTTAGCAAGTAATGTACTTTGCAATAATAAATGGCACAGCACGTGAGCAAAGGCTTGAAAGAAGTGGTGGTCTCCAAGGATTAGAACATGAGGAAACTCAATAGATTCTTGAATTCAATGGACGAAGATACTCAGCAATATTGGTCCCAATCTGAAAAAATAAATAGAATTAAGATTGATTAAAAACTCAAAAGTGTTAAAGTTAAATATCTTTAGAGTTAACTTTAAAACACATAAAATACCTTTAGAAGCAATTAAGGCCATAACACACCAAGCTATCAGCCAGTGTTGGCATTAGTTAACCACTGATCATGGCACTATGCTAAAATTTTTTGGCCCGAGTGAAGATGACTTAATGCAACAACAGGTTTGCCTAAGGAACTTTTTTTTAATAAGTAATATAAGGCAAGATTAGCATTTGAAATTATTAAGTATTTAATTGTGTTTTCTTAATGAGAATAGATAAGACCCTTCTTCCTCAGCTGGGACTGTTTGCAACCGTATTTGCATCATTTGAAGCCGCATTTAAATTTTCTTTAAAAACTTCAAAAATGAGGCACAATCTCAGTCCATGCAGATGGAGAAAAATGCTGAAATATTTTCCTAAAAAATATCTTTCTGACTGAAGAAAGAATGACATGAACAACTTGGGTGACAAGGTGGTGAGTACATTATGTTTGAATCTTTTTGTTGGAAGTGGACTTCTCCTTTAATGAAAATAATTGGCTTACAGGCCATTTAGAGTTTGTTGCATTCACTATCTATATAAAGCATCTTATCACTAAAATTTTGAGAAACCATAGCTGTGACCAAATCACAACTTTCACAAAACCGTCATCTTTTTATGTTTTACGCAGCAGATGCCCTTTCAACTGCAACCCATCACCAGGCAACAACCATACACTCTCATTCACACACGCACTATGGACAATTTAGCTTACCCAATTCACCTACACCGCATGTCACTGGACTGTGGGGGGGAAACCCATCCGAGGCTAAAACCAGCGACCATCTTGCTGTGAGGCGACAGCACTACCCACTGCGCCCCCATGCCATCCTAATAACAAACATAAAAATAACATTTTCATTGTTAATAAAATAACTATAAGACAAGCATTATGCATTAAATGCATCATTATGCATCGAGAAACCTTTAATTGAATCCTTACCCTCTGAATTGTATTCAAATTGAACTAAAAACGAGGAAAGGTTCGCTCCTGTGCTAAAAATAAAACAAGAGAATGTCACTGGTTGCATGAACAGCAGATTTTAAAAAATAACCAGACAAAGACAAATTGGCATTAGAGTTTAATCTCTCAGTTTAAAGTGTTGAAGTGGCTAATGATTACTAGGGCTGCCCCCTAATAATTGAATAACCATTAGTCAACTAAAAATGTATTATTCATTCATTCATTTTCTTTTCAGCTTTGTCGCTTTATTAATCTGGGGTAACCATAATAGAATGAACCACAAACATATCCAGCATAAGTTTTATGCAGCAGATGCCCTTTCAGCTGCAACCCATCACTGGGAAACAAATCATTCACACACATACACCATTGACAATTTAGTCTACCCAATTCACCTTTACCACATGTCTTTGGAAACCTGGGCACCTGGAGGAAACCCACGCGAACACGGGGAGAACATGCAAACTCCACACAGAAACGCCCATTGACCCAGCCAAGGATCGATCAAGTGACCTTGTTGCTATGTGGCGAATGTGCTACCCACTAGTTGCAGAAAAAAAGTCAATGTATGCTGCATGAATCTGCTGTGTAAAAAATATGCTGGATAAGTTGGCGGTTCATTCCGCTGTGGTGACCCCAGATTAATAAAGGGACTGAGTCAAAAAGAAAATGAATTAATGAATAAAAGGTTTATTAATAAATCTGTAATTATTCAACTAATGCTTCAAATGAACATCACAAGTCAACCAGAAAAATGTTTAGACAAGGGCAGCCCTAATGATTACAATGAACCAAGTAAAATATTATTACATACCTTCAAATGTGGGGATTAACTCCTCAAGATTACATTCTTTTAGTTTGATTTTCACGCAATTATCCATCTGAAAAAGAATAACAGATAAAGCGTTTAAGCAAAATTAAGTAAATAAAGATCATGTTTGCCAAAAGTCACTATATCACAAAAATACTCCTGGATAATAATTATCCAGGGTGTCGCATAAAACGGTGGTCAAACTTTTTCTTTTTGCAGTCGAAGATGATTAGACATTTCTCAGACATTTCCGTTTGCATGAAACGACCCATACATACAGGATTAATTAAAGATATCTCAAATCACGTCTAGAATGTAAAATGCTCATAATAAATTAATAACATTTGCTATTCAATGTACAGCTAAACAAAATGTACATGCAGAGCAGGACAATTATTGTATATATTTTGATTAAAAAAAAAAAACATTGTTAGAGAAGCTGAATTCAACACTTATGCATCAAAGTATTGTCACAAAAATCCATGAACAAACTTAAGAAATACAAGAGTAAAAATACTACTTACTGCTTTACAGTTAACACCCCAGAAAGATCACAAATCACAGTAATGTTACTTACTGTCATCACCTAGCCAACATAAAAATCTGTGTCATTCAAAAGGCATTTTATTACAATAAAAAGCTCCTAAATTATCCTAGGTGTTGTGTTTATAAAGTGGTCATCAAACATGCTTCACGTTAGTTTCATTAGTTACCTTATACTTTTCAAGCTCCTTCCGATGCCATGCGCGCTTTCCCGTCCACCGATCAACAGGTTGGGCGTAAGGCGGAGCAGCAGGTCGGGCGTGAGGCGAGCACAGGTCGGGCGTTAGGCGGAGCAACAGCTCGGCCGTCAGGCGGAGAAACAGGTCCGGAGAAACAGGTCGGTCGTCAGGCGGACTCGGAGCAACAGTTCGGCCGTAAGGCGAGCACAGGTCGGCGGTGAAGCAGAGCAGCAGGTTGGGCGTGAGGTGGAGCAACAGGTCGGCCGTCAGGTGGAGAAACAGAAAAAAAAGCGTGTGTATATTATACTAAGTAAAATAAGTGTGTTATTTCTTATGAAAATTGTTAAATACACACGAAATAACTTGCGTCTCACACAGAATTTCACTCGCTTCCCCTCAAAGACAGCGCAAAGAAAATGGCGGTTTCTCACGTTGATGTCCCTGCATGTTGACGTGACGTGTGCTCTCTCTTTCACGTCCGCGTTCCCAACCTAGCACTGCTGGGGTATAGATTAAGACAGATTTACAACCCAAATTGGGTTGAATCAACCCAATTTTGTTACCAAGCAGTTTCAACCCAGCATTTGGGTTAAAAAACCAACCCAGCGTTTTTTAGAGTCTGTGTATATATATATATATATATATATATATATATATATACATAACTTACTAAGTAGTTATGTCCTGTTTTCAATCCAAATATCTAAAGAAATGTAATCAACATACATACTAGACACATGAAACAGTATAAGAAATTATGTCTTGTTTTCTATAAACAATAAAAAAAAAAAACATCTAAAGTGTTTGTAGGTGATTGTTTGCATAAAACAAGCAAAACTATTTGCCAATAAGGTAAGAAAAATCGTAATGAGATAAAATCTTAAACAGAATTAAGCATCACTTAATTTTCTCACGCTATTTTTCTTGTCTAGTCTTGATTTAAGATTTTTAAGATATTTGGACTTGAATCAAGACAAACTTACTTAGTAAGAAAAGCTTTTTTTGCAGTGTAGCTATACATAACAACAGATGAATGATCCAAAAAAGGTGAGTGAATAAAAAGTGTCTTTAGTCTTGCAATGCAAAGTAACTATTCCACTGCTGCTTTACTACTGTTGTTAACCCTTTCACTGGTGAGTTTAATATATTCTATCTAAAACTGGAAATGAGTTTTGTTTGTGTAGTAATGGCAACCATTATTTTAGAACGTTCAACCTTCATGTTTCCATAGTGACACGTCCTGTTTGTTACTTGAAACATTGTAGTCACAAGAAAGCTGTATGACAGATGTATCTTTTTATTTAGTTTTTTTTTTTCGTTTTAATCAAAATATTCACAAACTGATATTCCAATTCACAAATATGTGAGTTTTTTTGTTGTTTAAAAATACAAATGATCTTGATTGTGATCTATAATGTAAGATGGCCTTTTCATGTTTACTTGCGGCCATGCATTTGCCTTATTCGTAAAAGCAGGATTCAGCATGTAAATTCATCAATTCCTCCAAAAAATGCATGCCAGCAAGTGGCTGGCCAGCTAGGAGAATAATAGATTGAACTTTATTGTTACTTTCACTACATTTATCTGATTTGAATAATTTACATCAGCAAATTATATTTGTATGGATTGTTAGACTTCCATAGACTTTCTTTTGTGTTTTACAAACTCTAAATGTATCGTTTTACTAGTACTTGTGTGTGTTTACATGTCTAAAACATAAAATAAGCAATAGGTGGTTAAAACGCTGCATAATTGTGATAATATGACACGTCTTTCTCTGGCTCAGGGCCAGCCAATACACCAAAGCTTAGTTTGAACTTTTCAGTTATGCTATGAGTTAACAAGCTAACGCTAACTTGACATTCTTGTCAAGCTTGCTAAACAGTAAACACCAGTACCAGGGACTTTAAGTTTCTCACTTCAAATCGAAACAAAAATAGTATTCTGTAATGATTTACCCTGCTGTTGAACTCCTTTCCTCCTCATCCCTCTCTTTAGGGCGCTGAGCCCTGTATTGGTGCACAAGAGAGACTGTGTTCATTCTGCTCCGCGCTAAACTAAAGTGTTATTATTATTATTATTTTTTAATAACCAAACATCCCCAAGTCGCACGACAAATTACATGTACATGAGTATAAACAGTCTGTAAAATTAGCTCAGGTACATTTTGTTTCCACTGATCATTCTTGAGATGTTTTGGCAGTTTAATTGGAGTTCAGCTGTGGTAAATTCAGTTGATTGGGTATGATTTGAAAGGGCATACACCTGTCTATATAAAGCCCCAGGGTTGACAGTGCATGTCAAAGCACAAACCAAGCATGAAGACAAAGGAATTGTCTGTAGACCTCTGAAACAGGATTGTCTAGATGCACAAGGCTGGGGAAGGTTACAGAACTCTGAAAGTTCCAATGAGCACAGTGGCCTCCATGGTTGGGTATCATTTGGGTTTTTTCGATACCGGTGCTAAATCGATACTTTTAAAATGGTACTGGTGCCAAAACAGTGCCTGAACCGATACCTTTTAGCCACAAAATTAATTGACAAAAAAAAAAATTATATATGTATGTATGTATGTACGTATGTGTATATATATATATATATATATATATATATATATATATATATATATATATATATATATATATATATATATATATGTATATGTATGTATGTATATGTATGTATATATATGTTAAAGATAATATGTGCAATATATATTATTATAAAATTAATAATGTTTAGGAACATTGATACAGCCGTAATCTTCTTATGATACAAACACAGATGAAATAGCTCTGATCATGTAAATGTTTGTACTAACCATACTGCACATTTTTATTAACTTAACAAAAAGTTATTTCTGCTGCCCAGTGTGAAAGCTATTTTTCAGCTCAACTGGATCAAAAATTTATCAAAAAGCTGTGTGTGAAATTGAAATTTTGGACACTGAACCTTATTTTTTTTAACAATATTTTTTTTCTTATGTTCCTGCACTCAGCAGTTTCTACTCTTTGCTGATGGTAAAAAATGAACAACTGAAGTGACCTTTAATTAGCATTTTGCACTATTTTGCACCTTGACAAGTCTTAATGCTATGAGCAGCTGGGTTTCTTGCACTACTTTTACATTATGTAAAAGTTCACATTTATGCAACCAATAGTTAATAAACTGGTTGTTTTTTTCCATACTTACTGTTGCTGACTTGTTCTCAGTTTGATCTAGCGGTTCATACATTCAACTCAACAAAATAGGTAAAAATAAAGTATTCATAATTTGTGCTGATATCGGATTTATATCGGTATCGGACTGATGGCTGCAATATCGGTATCGTATCAGAAGTTAAAATGTTGTATCGGGACATCCCTAGTTAATATTGCCATTTCATGAGTCTCCCCATTCAGTTGAATAGAGGGCTTGGACCCGGAAGCCGCTTCGCATGACGTCACACTTAACAAGGGGATATGCCTCATGTCCTACTTTTGATTGGTTAATACTTGATGTCATCGTTAGTTTGATTGGTTTTTGTCCAGTGAGGAGGGTGGGTCTTCTAAGCAGAGATGCTTCTCCAGGTAACCCTCCGCGTCTTAAAGTTTCACAGTTTAAACGCAAGCTACTTCAAAAGTACCCCAGAGAGTGGGAGTAAACAGATAACTGGCTGCAGAGTGTTAGGAATTATTATTAAGCTACTGCACGATTTGTCGGAGAGCGTTCTCTGTGGCCCATGCTGTCTGTGGGACAACATGCCTCTGGAGAACAGCATTCCCGCAATGACAAAGCTCGCAAAAATAAAAGCAGTCAGACTGTTCTCCGTGCCCCAAGTCTCTCCCGAAGCAGATATGGTAATGACAGTGACCTAGTCTGGGAAAATATAGCTTTTTTTTGTAATTTACTATTTTTCTACATGCAATAAAGAACAGTCTGTGAAAATAATAATAATAAATGTATTTAATATTAACTGAGTAAAACAATGTCAACAACTGAAATCACAGTGAAATTAATGGCTACAGTCAAACATTATCTCGGAATTAGATGTGGCCTGGTTTTTACACACTGGGTCACAAATTGTAATTGGTAAAAATTTTGCAAATACAATGTAAGTGGATCATAATCCAGTGTAATATTATGATTTGTTTGTTAAGGTTAAGTCAGGCACATAAGCATCAATTTATTACATTAATCATTACATTTAATACATTAATAAACAACATAATGCCCATGTAAAGAAAATAAACTAGTAAATTGCAACTTTCCATATTTTAAAATTAGAAATAGGCTATATGAAAACTTTACTACACTGTAAAATTGACCCTACTTTCCCTATTTCTGACATTTTTTAAATAACTGTCCGATGAAGGCTTTAATGGCAAGCGGAGTCCTCAGCTGTCAGATTTCACTTCACACCAAAAGGCGCTAATCCCGTCACGTCTGTGTTTTTGAGGCTGTTTGCTCACTTATTCTAATCGGATATAAACCTGATCGCTCAGACCACTTGGGTGATTTGGGATGCATTCCAGATGAAGCTGGATAGGTATTATAATTTTTTGGACAAAATTAATATAAACTAAATGAATTATGACATGGAGAAAATTTGACCTGCGCCTGAAACACCTGTAGGTGCGCATTTACAGCCAAAATTCTATTAAAATATGTGTACTATAAGCATAAAACATGTTTTAACTTTTTAGGCCTGTAGCCAGGGGGGTTTGGGTGGTTCGGAATACCCACCCCTCACTGACAAAGGTCCAGATGTTTATGTTTTAATAATTATTTTTTATTGAACTGGCCAAACTGTGACTAAGGACAGTTGAATGAGCTGGCCAATTTGTTTTTTGTCTAATAAATGTTTTTTTTTTTTTTTTACTTTAAAACTTTAACAGATTGCTATTTTTTTTCCTAATGACATATGATGTAATAAATTTGTATTTTAAAATTTGTCTTGTTTGAATTTTTTTAACTGCAATTTTTAGGAAATATTTTAGTACATCAAAAAGTGTGGTTATGATGACATCTGACTAGCTAATCCAGCAAAAAAGTCACTAAAATGAAGTATTTAAATCTTGTAGTTAAATAGAAACTGAGGCATATAACTAAAAAAAAGGTCCACTTTTTGAGAAAAAAAGAACCACCCCCTACACCAGGCTGGCTACGGGCCTGTATCCATTCCTGTATTTATTCTGTTTGCATGGTTTCATTTTTCATTGTTTTTCTATAGTTTATGACAGAAACACTCTCATTTGGCCATATTCTTTTCATCTAGCCCTTTTAAACCAGTAGGTATCTTAAATTAATGTCCATGGCTTTATTTGTGCATGTGATGTATGCAACAGTATTTTTTTTATTGGTTATGTGGTGGATGATCTTTCTCTCTCGTGAACATGCTTAAATACTTGTGCTACATGACAATATAAAAGCGTCTTTTAGTCCTTGTGTAGAATTTGGTCACTTAAACAATGAAAAGAAAACGTCCACTTTTCTGTACAGTATAAAACGTGTTTGGTAATGATGAAGTGTGTTGAATCTGTAGCAGTTCAGTATGTATGTGTGCACTTAGAGATGTGTGTAGGTGCAGAGAATATAGTGTCAAACAGCTATGTGTAATGTTCTGTCGCAAAATA